CAGGTAGAGATGAATAGATGGTGCACAGAGGATTTTAGGGCAGTGAAAATATTCTGTATGATATTATAATGACAGCTATGTATTATTATATATTGGTCCAAACCCATAGAATGTACAACAGCAAGAGAGAACCCTAAGGTAAACTAGAGACTTTGGGTGGAAATGATATGTCTATATAGGTTTATCTTTGGTTAAAAAAAAAAAAAGTACTATTCTGGTGATTGATGTTGATAATAGGGGACCCTATGCATGTGTGGGGGCAGAGTCCATGGGAAATCTCTGTACCTTTCCCTCTATTTTGTTGTAAACCTGAAACTCCTCTAAAAAAAAAAATAGTCTTACAAAAAAAAGTGCATCAACACATTCTCTCTGAGAATGTACTCAAAGGATGGCTGGTCCAAGCTGGGTGCATCTTGCAGCCATTCTGAGGCTTGTGCCTCCTCCTGTATTTGACTTGAACCCTCGATGTGCCTGGTGGAAGTTTTCCACATGTGGAGCTCATCGTGTCTACCATCCTTCCTTCACCATGCCACACACGTCCTGTCCTGCTTACTGAATCTTTGTGTTGTCTTCCAGTTTTGCAATATCTAGATTATAAAACTCGGGTGCAGGTTTTCTCCTAGGTTATAAACTGGGTGGAAGAAAGGGTGAATTCCGAGGTACCTTCCTAAAACATTAGCTGTTGTACTAAGAAATGAAGAGGCACAAAAATTACAGGGAAAATTTAGCGACCTAAATAAGCAATTTACCAGGTAGATTGTATTTCATTCACATTTGACTGCCCAATGGTATCAGAGTAGTAAAAAAATTCGCCAAAGCACTGGACAGGGTGAGGGTAGGGCAGAGATGGCACACCAAGGCCTAATATTCCCTTTGTATGCAGTTGGTTCCTCCATAATTCGCTCATTCCTTACCTTTACACAATTAACTTTTTATTTATCCTCCTCACAAAATTGTTTGAAATAAAAATCCAGGCTGGTAGCCAAAACCGCCTAAGTCTTTCCAGCTTCCTCTTCTTGTGTGGAATGACAACATGGATGTCCCCGGGGGTTGCTTTGCATTGCTGAACTCATCCTGTGGGGGTCAGTCCAAGGGAAAGCCAATAGTGAGTTCTGAATTCTAAAGAAATATCAAAGCCATCTTTATGGGTCCCACGGTTCCTGCAGATCCTTAGAAGCAATGATAAATGTAGGTTGTTAAACTTGGAAACAATAGAAAACAATCTGGAAATTAACAAACTGCCTTTGGCAAAAGACTGTGTACCCCAGGTGTACAGATTTTGCAATAAATCAATGTAGGAGATGTAACTTGTGACAGGTAGTGCCTTTGGGGATCACCCATGATATGAGATTCTGCCGAATTGCTGCTGGCCTTCTGGAAAATAGAAACAATCTTAACACACATATGTTGTGACCTAATCTTTCTACTACACTTTTCTCTTTTAATTTTTCCTACCCTTCACTTCTCTTCATTAAAAAAAGAACTTTAGTATTTTAAAAATTGGAGTAAGACATCTAAGCTATGTTTTAGAAAAATGTAGGTTGGGAAAAGGAAGAAAAGAAGGAGGGGAAGATTCTTTCATCAGAGACCACAGTTATGTTCCAGAACATGTAAGAGAGTCTGTATGAAGCTAGAGGTAAGATAAAAATAGAATGGCTTTCTCAGATTTCAAACTATACTATAAATCGATAGTAATCAAAATGGTATGGTACTGGCACAAAAATAGACACACAGATCAACGGAACAAGATAGAGACCCTAGAAATAAACCCATGCTTACATAGTTCATTAATCTATAACAAAGGAGACAAGAATATTCAATGGGGAAGAGATAGTGTCTTCAATAAATGGTGTTAGGAAAACTGGACAGTCACATGCCAAAGAATGAAACTGGACCACTTTCTTACACCATACACAAAAATAAACTCAAAATGGATTAAAGGCTTAAATGTAAGACCTGAAACCATAAAACTCCTAAAAGAAAACACAGGCAGTAAACTCTTGAACATTGCAATATGTATTAGCAAAATTTATTAGCAATATTTTTCTGGATCTGTCTTCTCAGCAAGAGGAACAAAAGCAAAAAATAAATAATTGGAACTACATCAAACTACAAAGCTTTTGCACAGCAAAGGAAACTATCAATAAAACAAAAGGACAACCTACTGAATAGAAGAAGATAGTTGCAAATGATATATCCAATAAGGGGTTAATACCCAAAATATATAAAGAACTCATACAACTTAACAAAAATACAATCTGATTGTAAAATGGGCAGAGGTCTGGAATAGACATTTTTCCAAAGACATGCAGATGGCCTACAGTCACATGAAAAGATATTCAACATTATTACTCATCAGAGAAATGCAAATCAAAACCACAATGAGGTATCTACCTTAGACTGGTCAGAATGACTAGTACCAAAGAGACAAGAAATGGCAGGGGGGCGCCTGGGTGGCTCAGTCATTAAGCGTCTGGCTTCGGCTCAGGTCATAATCCCAGGGTCCTGGGATCGGGCCCCGCATCGGGCTCCCTGCACCACGGGAAGCCTGCTTCTCCCTCTCCCACTCCCCCTGCTTGTGTTCCCTCTCATGCTGTCTCTCTCTCTGTCAAATAAATAAATAAAATCTTTAAAAAAAAGAAAAAAGAAAAAAGAAATGGCAGGTATTGGTGAGGACGTAGAGAAAAGGGAACCCTTGTGCACTATTGGTAGGAATGTAAATTGGTACAGCCACTATGGAAAACAGTATGGAGATTCGTCAAAAAATTAAAAATTGAAATACCATATTATCCATTAATTCCACATCTGTGTATTTATTCAAAGAAAAATGAAAACACTAATGTGAAAAGATATATGCATCCTAAATTTATAGCTGCATTCTTTACAACAGCCAAATTATGGAAGCAGCCCATGTGTCCATTGACAGATGAATGGCTAAAGAAGATGTGGTATATTTATACGATGGAATGTTACTTATCCATAAAAAAAGAATGGAATCTTGTCATTCAGGACAACATGGATGGACCTAGATGGTACTATGCTAAGTGAAATAAGTCAGACAGGGAAAGAACAATACCATATGATTTCACTTTTACGTGGAATCCAAAAAAAAAGATAAACGAACAAACAAGTAAATTTATAACTACAGAGATCAAACTGGCAGTTACCAGAGGGCAGGGGGTGGGACGATGAGTACAGTTATGAAGGGGATTAGGAGGTACAAACTTCCAGTTATAAAATAAGTAAGTCACCAAGATGGAAAGTACAGCATAGGGAATATAGTCAATAATATTGTAGTAATTTTGTATGGTGGACGAGATGGTGACAAACTTAGCATTGTGGGCGCTTTATAATGTACATAATTGTTGAATCACTGTTATATACCTGAAACTAATATAATATTTTATGTCAACTACACTTCAATTGAAAACTTAAAAATAATAAAATGGCTTTAAATTTCTATCACTACAGGCAGCCCCCAATCTAAGAAACAGTTGGGTAATAAAGGTTTATTCTCTAAACTGTTGTTCAGAGCTCAAAATTTTATTTCCATAGAAACATCATAAATGATTGAGCTCAAAAATAAATAAATAATAAATAAATAAATAAAAATAAAATAAATGATTGAGCTCATAGACCAGACATGAAAAGTTGATTTAACTCCATAATGATTGTGAAGGACAGGACTCATGGATCTACTTCAAATTCAACTAACCACTCTGTACGGTATTTTTCTGATGGTTAGACCTATATCAAGTTCTGACTCAGAATACTAGGCACATTCTATGCCCAACCCCCACCCCCGCCATCTATCTCCTTGCTCTTGTTTTGAAATTCTCAGCAGAAACACCAGGACCTTCCTAATGGAATGAATGAGAATTCAGGTCTCCTGTCTCCAAACCCTTTCCAGAAGTTATCCCTTAATATCTGGGTAAAAGGTAACACTTGGGTCAGTCATTCTTGGGGTCTCTGAATTAGGAGAGTGGGGTATTACCTCCACAGAAACAGAGCCTGTAGATTCAGACCTCCTCTACTTGGTGGGTCATAAGGTGTTAAGGTAGATAGTATCACTGAAAGAGCATTGGACTGTGTGGTCAACAAAACTGAATTTGAATCTTGACCATTACCTATGTAACCTTGAATGAATGACTTGACATATCTGGGCCTTACTTTTCATTTATTTAAAAAATAATAAATAAGGGAACCTGAGTGGCTCAGTCGGGTAAGCATCTGACTCTTGATTTCAGCTCAGGTCACAATCTCAGAGTTGTGAGATCCAGCCCTGTGTGGGGCTCCATGCTGAGTGTGGATTCTGCTTGGGGTTCTTTCTCTCCCTCTCCCTCTGCCCCTCCGCATCTCTCTCACTCTGGAGCAAGAAAAAAAAATTCTATCAATAAAGAATAATAATAATAAATAAATAGTATGTCCAATTTTTTAAAAGAAAGTTTTTAGCTTTCAAGAGAATTTCAAAGGAATCTATCACCACCACCACCACCCTTCCCAAATTAAGAACAACTGGACAAAATGATGTGCTAAATTCTTTTAACCATGGCATTTTAAATTCTAAGTCTAGTATTTCTTAGAATCTGCCTAACCATGATTTCCTCACCAACTGAATATCAGAACCCTCCAAATCATCTGGTATCATCCTCCTCCTCCATATTAGTTAAACAACAAGCAGAATGACAAAAGTTTTATAACCTTTCTACATGACTTGTCATTCTCTGAAAACCTTTCTTTTTGCTGTCATAAAAGATCTATCACTTCCAAACCCTCAATTTCCAAATGAGAGTTTACTTTGATTGGACTAACTGGTAATTTCTAGGTCTGCACTCGGTGTCTTGTAGATACTTTTTCCCCCATCTCCTCAATCAATTCATCCTTCTGCTTCAATTTGCTTGACATGTTCCTTGCTCCTTAAGAGTTTTGGACCCAAGACAGAGGTTGAAATCCAAGGCCAGCCCTCATAATTTAGAATCACTCTTTTTTTTTTCTTTCAGGAAAAGGAGCATTGAATTGCTTATCCTGTGTGTGGAGTTACCACCTAGTGGGAGGAATCTGCATCTCGGACTGTCTGGTGGGGGAGTACAGAGTGGGAGAGGTACTGAGAGCTGGGCATGCTCTGCCCTCCCCCGTTTCTGCAGAGCCATGGGAGCTTGCTCCCGCAGGTCATTCTGGGCAAAGTCAAGAAGTCCTAAAATTCCTAAACTTGCTCTAGTTTTATAATCTTCTACCACTGCATCACAGAAGAATGGTGCTACCCATCTGTAGCCTTAATCCCAGCCAAAGGAACTGAGATGACCTGAGATAAATAATGGGGAAGTTAGATAATGAGGACCCCAGATTTACCTCTACATTCATTGCTCGTGACCTTAGAAGTTTCAGGTCCACTTAAGAATATTATATCAGGGAGTGCCTGGGTGGCTCAGTCGTTAAGCGTCTGCCCTCGGCTCCAGGTCATGATCCCAGGGTCCTGGGATCGAGCCCCACATCAGGCTCCCTGCTCTGCGGGAAGCCTGCTTCTCCCTCTCCCACTCCCCCTGCTTG